TCCGGTACCCACTGTTTCCAGCGAAGTGGAAAAATGAGGTTGTATGACCTTAGCAGCTCTTTTGGATAACTGTACTTTTTGATTCCCGTGATCTTCTTTCGCAAGGTAATTCTGTTTTTTGGGGTGAAGCGTTTCTACCATTTTAAACAGCCGTTTTTTAATACTTTCTAGCGCAGATATGAAGCTTTTTCTATCTACGATCAAATATATTTCAAATATATTGTGGGAAGATGAATTTTGCATAGAAAGATACTGGATTGCGAAAATTCTACAAATAGGACAATTATATTGTGGAGAAATCTAAATTCTAAGTAAAATATATCGATAAGCCCCATCTCAATGGCTCCCTTATGCTGTTTGGCTCCGGCAAAAAATTCTATATACTAAAATTATAATTATTATCCACCAACTTGCCTTTTACTTTGCATAGGCCAAAGCTTCAGAACTGCATGCTTAAGTAATTAACGTTGTAAAGTTCAATCTTCGAGTAAAGTTGTATTGAAACGCTAGCAAGACAGATATCCTAAAATTATGGTAATATTTTGTGACTTGGCCGTGTTCTCAGTGAAACCTAGTTGGACGCACCTCGTCCGAAGCCCTATAAATTCTCACGTCGACAGTTCGACGCTGGGAAGTATCATAACTACTATATCAGAGGACTTCGGACAAGTTGCGTCCAACTAGGTCTACCTGATAACATAAAAATGTTGCGAAAATGAATTAAAATGACTTGTATGCAAGGAAAAGAGACTGCGATCAAAATAGAGGCCACAACATCTTCATCTTCATATCTACAATGATAAATTTTATTTGTAACTAATTTGTCTGTTAGGTATCATCATTTAGGAAGCACGATCTTTTTTCAAAAGCTTTAAACAATAAAGCAGCTTGGTGCGATTCTTGAATATTGATTTGGGCATTAAATAAATGTGAACTATGAGTGAAGCCACCCTTGATCGCATAAGATGATAAAGGATTCCTCCACTCAATAAATGAGGCATAAAACAGTTCACTTTCTAAAAAGTATTGGCGAGGAATTTCTTAAAGTATGTATGAAATTATACAAAATGTGATATGCTACATAAAAATAAGATATATGCGTATGTTTCTTAAAACAAACAAGTATACGCTGGAGACTGGTAAGCTGTAGATTATGACTATTTTATTAATAGTTCGTCTTATCTTTACCTGTGGAATCATATTCAAATTGGTCTAAAGTAAGCAGTCGAGATTTTGCTTTTAGATTTTCTTATGCAATTATATTAGAAGAGTGGTCAATAGTTCAACTGAATTAGTATTATTCATTTAATGATTGCTTCGATAGTGGAATAAATAAACAAAGCTAATCACTTATTAGAAATTGTCTTACTCTGTTCCACGATAGATTACGTGGGCATACGTAGGCAATATCTTTCTCTTATCTTTACGAAATGTGGTATAATATACCTGTTAGCTACGTTTTATTAGAAAATATATTAAAATATCTACTCACGCAAGTAAAAGAGATATATTTCTTATTTAGAAAATAACTAGCAATGGCATGTGCCTAAAGCAGGTCATTATCTTGTGTGGATAATACTCATCTACTTTATCCGAAGTAGCTCCCTCATATATTTTTCTGGAGGCAAGCACGACTTGCTATGACTAAATAAGTCATGTAGTATAATGCTTTCGTTGCTTCATTTTATTTTCAGAAATTCTTCTGGAAATATGATTTATTGTTCACGGGCCAATTTCACCTATGTTACGGATAATAATTTATTTTTTATTAAGCTATTTATGATCGCATTGACTCGTAAGTTTAGTGAAATTTTGAAATAAAATATTGTGATCGATTCTCAAAGCGATTAAATATAGTTAGCCGAAAGCAATTCCAAAGGGAAATTGACTTAGTGTTATCTTCCTTAAATATTTCTTACGGTACAATGAATTTGTACATTGCTCAAAATTCAGGTAAATTTTAATCAGGAATCAAAATTTGCATTTACTCCTTCTTTATACCAGCCCAGATATAAATACTATTCAGGAAAAGAAGTAATCATATTACACATTTAAATGTTACGTTCAGATATTCTAATGGGCCAAAGAATTAATCAATGTCCAACTTATTCATTTATTATATACATTTATATTAAGTTGTTGGTATGCCTTCTAGTATTCATTAATATCTAATCCAATATCGTAATATGCGTTTAATTATAATGTTACAATGTCTTAAAGGATAAGGTCAAAAGACGCCGGCTATCCTTAATTTGGCTTAAATTTGCGAGTAAGAGGGGTTAATAAATTAGTGCTACAGCAGGACGAAGGAAGAGTGATTTGAAGCTGCGACAGTAGATTGGACGAATAAATTCTAAGTGCACCGTTCAGTTACCCAGATGAATCTTGGCTGTACCTTCATCTATTTCGCGAGGTCAGGCATCGTCAGAGTAGTGTGCCATACTTGAAGATTATTAATAAATTGCCTTGTTTGTCTTCGTGCACGGATTTATCGGACCAGCTGGACAGTGCGTGGAGAACTTATTCGTGAAAATCACAAGTCACAACTTTCAGCGAGACCAATATACCAATTCTTTTCAGTTGACTCTTGGGTCGAAATAAAAAGGTGAGTCATAATTCTGTTAAGGGATTCTTATACATAAAGAGTTTCTTCCTAAGATAAAGTGGTCAGAAATCTCCACGCCAGTGTAAATTCATACTTCCTTTAAAGTTTAAAATCAAACGCCATAAATTAAAACATTTAGTGGTTTTTATCTATGGTTTATCTAATTATTCAAAATAATTAAATGTCCCATATGTCTATTTGACTTGTATCTGCTTCATTAATCGATTACTATCCATTAATTAATATCTATATCTATTTATCTGTCCATCTATTTGTATCTATAGCAACAATAAGTCCTTAAGTATCTTCTTATATATTTTAGGCTACCGAAGATAAATAATGCTTATTGAAAGATTTGCAAGTCAAAAAGAATAAGAAGGTCAATAAATGGTGCAAATGCCCGGTAACTGATAGGTAGCATAGCATGATGGACGTAGCGTACTAGTAGTAGCCCACCTATGGAAGTTGATATTTTCAATACCAACTTTAGTATTTACTACGCCAAAAGGAAATTGAATACCAAGCGTGTCGCAAAGTCGAGATTCTAAAGTTAAACTCTAATTCTCTTATAGAAATTGAAATTGAAGGCCTTCTACTCAATGCTAATAAAACCTCATAAACAACCAGTTTAAGTTTTAAGATTTGCCACAAGGCTATTTAAACCGTTTCTCGTGAACACAAAGGGTTTATTATGAATTATAGAGATCGTAATTATGCATCTAAATTAACACTTCAATGTGAAAAAAGAATGATACAGAATATATTATAAATATAAAAAAGGCTATTTTCATTTACCCGAAAAATGGCATCAATACAGGGCATAATGAGATGATACAAAAGCATGGAGTATAAGTTATTCCTGCATCCACATCAAACTATAAATTATCAAATTTAAATTATTTGTGTAGGGAACAATAAAAACGCAGTCAAAAACAGTTTAGTTTAAGTTTTTAGACAAACGGATTCCAAAATATATTTTGTACCAAAAAAAAGTTCAAATTGGAGGAAAAGGCTTTTGCGAATGGAATTTATTGGCCTCGATCTTGGTTGTTTTTTTCTTGTATATCTAAGAGCTGCATATTTATTTGGAACAGAAAGTTAGCGAAGCAAACTATATAGTGGAACTATTAGATAGATGTCAGGGCATCTTCATGCTAACACAGTTAGCTTCAAATCATACGTGAATATTTGAGTTATAACAAGAATGGCGTAATAAAGAGACTATAAGGAGCCTTTAGTGGAAAGCTCATGTGCAACATCATGCTTATTCTCCAAAAAGATGTAAGGCCAAGAAGGTGCAGATTTTAAAAGCATAGCCTGTTGTTATACAGCCCCATTGTAAATGGGCAAGTAATAAATTTAAGTATGGTGATTTAGTTTAACATTTGCAATATGCTAGCTTATCGCGCAACCATTTGGACTAATTTTTAGTTTCGAATCTGTTTTATGCTCCACTTCAAATGATAACTTCGGCGTTCTTAGAGAGAGTTTTGGATTAAAGATGACTCAAAATTATCATCAAATAAAATCAATCCTACAATAAAATTAGATGTCATGAGTATTGAATCTTCTCTTTTGATGAATAAAGGTCAATGTATACTTAATCAAGCAATCGATTTAACTAAGACTCTAATATCTTTATTTCTACCACAAAAGTTAAGGATTTATGCCATATCAAGGAGAAACTTTCGCATGTGCATCTGTTCACGACCGAAGCAAGATTAATTCAAGTTTGAAAGTTAACTGTGATATATTCAATGTAGCAAGTAGACTCATGTTTTAGAATCAAGGGCAAAAGCCCTTAAGTCTATCTTCATCTTAAAGCTTGTCTGAAAAATATAAAATTTCAGTACGGAGTGCTGAAAACGAGATTATTTATTTACTTTAGAATCCAGAATATTAACCGCACTAATTTAGTCTACATTTTCCAACCAAATAGTGTAGCCTTTAAAATCTATAAATTCTGAGGCTTTATTACACACGATCTTTTACATATATAAATATAAAACCATTAATTCATCACTTCGCGTTCCTGTCACATAAGTAAAAAAGGATTGACATTTACGATAAATTATAATGAATTCTTAAGTACACAACTGTGGCATGGCAAGAAACAGTGTATTTATTTGACTAAGATATATATACATGTCAGTAGATACCAGTGATAAGTATTGCTTGAAAATCACATCAAAAATAGTTAATGTAGAAAGATCAGCGCATATTTTTCTATTTTATGTGTTGATCGCTAAGCTTACAATTATAACTAAACCTAGATTTATTAACCAAAAATACTAAAAAAGAAAGGATTAAAAAATGTCTCTAACACAGACAAATTTGGAATATGAAATATTCTGAAATCGTTAGTAACAAAAGGTGAACAAATAATTTGGGCTTTATGTTTGAGGTAATCTTCGAAATGAGAATACATAATTTTAGTGCCTGCATGAGGGATGTAGAATACGCCTTGGTTACTACGTGACCCTAATTAAATTACTTGCTAGCCTAGAATTTCCTTATAATAGGCACTCGATTTTTTGTATCATTCCAACAATCTCACTTCATTTTTTTATCTGTCCTTCAGGTTTATAAAAATATTGATTTAAATATATTTATAATATAAGTGCTTTCTTAATTTTCTATGAATTATTAACGCATAAAACTAATTTAAACTATTTTACTTATCACCTTTATAATCTAGGTAAAACCACCAGGGTTAAAATAAGCATGTATCTGCACACCATAAGTTCGGTTGACGTAATTGAAATGGTCAGTTCTTCAACAACATTTATCAAAATGAATTTTAAAATGCTTATCTTTAAATAATTAGAGCACAATAATTTAAAAAACTTTTCCTTTATTTTTAATTTAATACTTTTCAAATATATTTCTCATGCATTTTGTTTTCCTAGGGGTATAGTTCTATTAACATGAGACGTAGTCAATCAATTTCGTCTAAGGTGATGAAGAGCTCGTAACTGAATTTTCCCAAAATTATATGAGTAGAGGCGACTTTTCCATTAAATTTTACACAACCTTTCTTTAAGAAAAGGTATTCTCATCCAGGTAGTAGTGAACTGCAGTTTCGACCTCACCCAGGTCTTATCGACACCCCCAGTGGAACTCTAATCGTGGCAGTACAGCATTTAATCCTGACACAATAACTACTACACTACATTGCCACGAGTGCTCTTGTATCATAGGGCAGATAAAAATTTCTATTTTATTCAACCCATCCTTTATTATTTTTATGCAATATGAGAAAATATTTTTCGCTTTGTGGGACTAATTATATTATCCTTTAATAGAAAATTGAGTGGAGAAACATACATCAAAGGTAAAATAATTATAGGAGTTCAGCTTTGTGACTGTTGTGCCATGCAGTATTGAAGCTATTGTCATAGCCTATACTACAAATTAACTCGATAAAATTATGAAGAAAAAATATAAAGGCCAGCTTCCTTAATGTTGCATATTTTCCAATATTTGGGAAAAGTTGTATGCTATCTTATCTTATAGATTGAGACTTCTATTTTCAAAAGTATGGGTTGCTCAATGGCTTCTAGGTTTAAAGACCTAGCTAGGTACCTAAAGAATTTGGAAGCAGCGGTGATCCCCAATTAAACTAACATATTTGCCAATTTAGTTTAGAGAAATCATCCCATCTCAGCACATTAAGCAAGGGAAATTATCGAAACTTTACTTACCTTCAACGTTTCGTATGATTGGTAAAGTGCGTAGGTTTTATTAATTTCTGTTCTATTAAAAGTCCAAAACTGCCCAGTGACAATAAAAATATTCTGAATTATTTTCTCACAATAACCAAATTAAAAGGCAAATTTACATTTTATCTAGCTCTTTTCAATGAACTACTTCTTTGGATGCCTTCCTTTATGCTAAATTCTTTGAGTTTTACTTCTTGCCCCAAAATAATTTTCGTTTCGTAAATAAAGCTAGCCAAATACTTTAATCTCATTCTTCATATGTAAATAGAGTTTCGAGACTCATCTCATATAACTTTAATCTCCCTCAGATACAAATATTGCTATGATTCATTTCATCAGCTCATTCTGTAATATTTCGAGTAAGGTGTTTTTCACGACCAAACTAATATTTAATAAATTATGTTTAAATAACATACAGCAGTAATTAAAACTTGACGGGCCAGAGGGTGCTGTAAACAGAATTTGAAGAATTTCACAATTGAGCATTTGATCTTATGAATATCGTTGAATGAAATCTTTCTAACTATTGAAAGTAGGGTTTTGGGACTTGAATTATATTATATATTTCCATATCTGTAGCCAATAAGTACAAAGATTTATTATTATCCTTTTACCTTAATAAAATATTTATATTCTTTATATCAAAATCTGCATCAAATTCATTACCGTGCCATCATTGTCATTAGCGAAAAATTTATTTTTCGGTAATAACTATTCTTAGGAAAAAATGTCGCTAATTGTTTTTTTTCATTTTGCATACAGTAGAATGTCATGCCTGTGTTTCCTCTATATTTTATCCTTTGCTTATAAATGTATTGTGATACCTAATTTTCTGAAGCGAAAACTGATTCAAGTTATCCATTTATTTATCAAATCATTTCATCGAATTGTCAATAGGATTACTCCCTCAATATGTTCTTGCGCCAATTCTGGAGAGATGAACGCCTAAGCTTTGTTGGAAAGCATAATAAATCATTGAATCTTAACTCCATGCGTCAAAGGCTCTGGACGCCTGACCTATATTTCATCAATGAGAAAGCAGGAAATTTCCATACTGTAACAACACCTAATCTTCTTCTGAGGTTAGATCCAGACGGAAGTATTATGTTTAGCCAAAAGTAAGTCTAGTTATTTTTTAATACTCACTAGCTAAATGCATTTATTTAAATAATATTCATTTAAAGTAAAATAAATAATTTTATAGTTATTTTGATTTTATAACAAATAGAGGATTTTTTGGTAAATATTCTTTTAGTTATAGCCAATCGTTTTTATGCCATAGAAGTGCCCTAATATGCGTGATAACTTCCAGAAAAATATAAGCTGGAATGGGAATCCAAGACATAAATTTTTGACATAAGTAGTTTCGTGACTAAGTTCTTATTTATAGAACTAAATAATTCACAATCTTAACTGAATGGTGTGTTTTATACACTTTTAAATGTTAATTAGAATATTTGGTTTTTTAAAGGACTCATTATAACTAATGTATTGTCCAAATTGTTTAGACGTCCAATTGACTAACATAAATGCATCTAATATTTGAAATATATACAAAAATATATGTAAGCATATGAGATTTCTGGGTTTTATTTCAACATTATAATCTTAGTTATGTTGGCTCTGAAATGTTAGTTTAAATCAATAAATAAATGTTCAAAAACTAAAATAGAAGAATGACAATTTTCTTCTGGAGATACTGATGAAAACCTTACTACAAAGCCAATGTGAATTCACCAAAAGCGACAGGTCTCAGAAACTCTTAAAAGCCTATTTTTCTATTAGATATGCTATACTGTTATGGTGAACTAGTGGCGCT